GGGAACCCGTATCTCCGATATGGGGCCCAAATTAATTCATTTCTTCATACACATCAGTTTATGGTTATAGTTTGGTGTTTTTTACTGTTATGATCTGGGGAGCAAGTCTTCAGGGGCATGGCTAAACCGTGGGGCCAATGGTGATAGCATGAACTTATACCATATGTTTAACAGGGCTTTTATAAGACCTTTGAGCATGTGTTTTTGACTCCTCTAAATGGGCTTTGACTCTTGGAATTCAAATGACAGGTCTACATGTACTTGACGTATGTTCGGACTCCCCAAAATTTAAAGAGAAAATCTTCTGAACTTGCTGAATGTCAAGTTCTGTTTTAAATTGATATCCTTATTAAGTTTTTTGTAAAGTTCCTACGTCACAGCGTCAATAATTAAGGACATAGAGTTCTTGGAAAATTTGCTATTTTCCAACTAAAATTTAAATTGATCTTTTTTATGTATTATTTAATTCTATTTTCTAAAGCACCTTATTTAGTCTTGATATTTGGTCTGCCACTAGCCTAAATGCTGTACGACAGACATTATTATAAAGAAATTATCTTCAATATTCAAGATGGCCACTATGCCATCTCATTGGCCAATTTTCACTGTTGCATCTCTTGGCGCCGAGCACCGTAAGATCTTCTTTAGTTCTACGTCAGTTTAATCTTTTCCCTTCATTTCTCCTTTAGCATCTGTTGGATTGATAGTCTTATAAACAGTAACTAAATCTTGTAGTATCTTTTGACGAAAATGTCATTCAGATGAATTGAGAGTTTTCTTTCAAAATTAGTTCACTGTATCGGTCCCAAAATCTAACATGCATAACTATGAATAATGGGAAATCATCATATGGAATTTGAGAGAAAGACATGTCAAGCACTTCTTGAGAAATAGGATAACAAACTTGAACTGTCAAAATCCTAGATGGCTAATTAGCAGCCATCTTGTTTTCTCATATTTGTGCACAAACATACACGACTATGGACCATGGGGGAACCTTCATATGGAATTTGGGAAAAGACCTGTCAAGTACTTCTTGAGAATTAGAGATAACAAACTGGTTATGTCGAAATCAAAGATGACTGTCTTGCAATCACCGTGATTTTTTCCCATCAGTCCCAAAAACGAAACATGCAGAACTATGGACCACTATGGAGAACCCACATATGAAATTATAGAAATGACCGTTCAATACTTTTTTGAGAAATACAGATAACAATAATTATTTATGGACGAAGGGTAATTTTTGAAGATGGTGGGCTTAAAACTGAAATTGTACACCCACGGTCTGGATATTCTTTAGAAATAGTAAAATATGTTCATTTTATTAATTTTCATGTGTAAAAAAAAGCATAACAGAGTAACAAGAAACAAAATGGAATAGGGTAGCTACACAAATCCTCTCTGTAGATATTTAGACAGTGCCTATTTTAGGCTCAATGCCCCAATAAACCATAAAAAATAAGTGACAACAAAACCATAATTTGAAGTTAAAATGTATAAAACTTGAGCTAAATCTGAACAAAGGAAAGATTTAAATGGACATCCTTGAAGAAATATAAGGAGAATAAGACCAGGTGTTCCTGAAGGGTAAGCGCCTGCTTCATTTACAACCGCAATGTAAATCTTGGTCAAATCAGAGCAATGTCTCGTTCTGTCCTCGCATCGAAAACTCGGATAGTGACAACAAATTTCCAAGGAACACTAATGAGCAAAATCTAATACATCGACCTTCATATAACACAAAAAAATGGCATATTTCCCTGTGAGATCCTGATGGCAACCATAAAACTTGTCTATCGTCTTCATCAACCCTGTGTTGCAAGTTTGTCCGTCAACAATCGATATCAATCACGTAAGCCATAATATTCGGAGCAAGTTCTTGCACAACTGCGACATGTTATATTGTAACACCGCAAGTAGGAGAAGCAGGGATGTTACTATCAAGAAAGAGAAAGTTCAAGGATAAGAAAGTCGAAATCATCTCGCGAATCGTACAACTTAGTAGTAAATCGTCTCTGTTGGCCATGTGTTAAGTAAAGATCTCCGCAGAGAGTTATAATTGTTAGGATTTTGATACGAAAGAAAAGAGTATCAAAAAATTGTAATTATAACTTAAAATCGGTAATAAAAAACGGAAAATATGAACAAATAAAATTATCTACAGCTATAAACCAAAATCTAAGACATGCTTAAAGGAGAATAAGACCAGGTGCTTCGAAAGAGTAAGCGCTCTCTTCTTTAATGACGGCAACTGACATTTTAACCTCGGTCAAATAATCAATGTTATATATTTAATGCCCTTTGTGTGTTGTCAGGCGGAATATGCATCTATGTTTGGTGGTTTTGTCGTTACTTTTAATTAATACCCAGTGAATCTTCAGTACAAAAATAAAAATATGAAAAAAATACATTCATAAATAAATGAAATATTAGGTTAACCTGGAAGTTTAGATCTAGTTAACGTTAAATGACATGAAAAAAGAAACACGAATGTCGGTCAACAGCTCAAGTCAGAGGGGAAATAGACTACACATTTATTTAATACTCAAACCATTAATGATATTAGCATGTAGATATTAACATAATCCTAACTCATATATATATATACACCGCAGCTAATCTATCTAATTATAACTAATTAGGTTATTTAATACATTATGAACTGCACTTGTGTCCTTTTATTTCTATTCGTTCTGTAAGTCTGGTGTATCAGCGTACTGGCGTACCGTCGTGAATTAGGGTATCCCCGGCCGTCGTGTATTAGCTAGGGTACCCCGGGCCGGGCCGTTCCGGCTTTTTACCTTAATGATACCGTATACTCCTTGGGAGACCGTAAACTACGATCCGTATGACAAAGTTCGAGTGTCGTACTTATAGCATTTGCACAGGGACGTGAGAAATTGTCACAGCTGATATGTATCGACCAACTGCCGTAATATTGCACGTCTTTGGTGTTTAAATCAACTCTCTGTAAAAATGGCTTCCCAAGGATGGTATATACGGGGATGACATTTGATTTAAACACGAAAATCGTTTAATAGTACTCCCTACACATCAGGACAGGTCAAACTATATCGACGATATTGAATTCTCACGTCCCTGTGAGCACTTGGTTTTTAAAATACCTACAATCACTCTGTCGGATAATCCTTGCTGCAGTAGGTTATGTCTTGTATACAAAATATATTTTGTCTCATACGGAACCTGCGTATTCCGACCACATTTCCATTCAAATGTCATACCACGAAATCAAATAGACAACAATACCGGAGCGGTTTTCTATCAGCACAAGTTGAAATTTAGTCTGAACCTCTCTTACCGGAGGGCTAAGGAGACTCGGCTAGTTGTCGGATTGGACAGGTTTAACCATAAAAAAATATAAATTACATTGTGAACAACTTGATGGTGAATTTTAATAACTTTCCTTCACATTTCCGAACAAAATCACTTTGCGTTAAAATCGAAGGGATACGTATTAATTTATTAAACCGAATATTTAAATGTTTCCCTTTTCAGATTATGATGTGTCCGGACAATCTCCAAATATACATTTTCATAAGTATTCTGGATATTTTTTTGAGAATTTTGATTATTAAAATAAATAATATTTCAGTGGAACCTCGTTGGTCCGGAACCTTGGTTCCGGAAAATCTTCCGAAATATCGAAAAGTCTGAATTATTGAGACAGTTAAGTTTCAGAATACATAATTATATATATTATATGACCTTCCGGAAAGCGAATTTCCGGACTTTGCGATACTAGATTAATGAGTACAATACAATGGACCTTATCTCTTTAATGTACAAGTTTTAAAATATGTATATACACATAGATATTGCTTCATGTATTTCACCGCCACGCTTCCGTACGTAAAATATCAAAATTAATCGGCTATACACGTTCATTCAATTTGTAATAATGAATAATGCAAACTTTGCCGATCTATTCAATGAAATGTGTGCCAGCTTTATCTAATACCATCTAATACCGACCTATATCTAACCCCTACCTACTTATCTTTTAAGAACATAGACTAATCACCTAACGTCTATAGGGTTGTATTATGCTTATAATTCTCACAACTTTAACAGGAGCGTACACATGTATCATGCCTTGATGGGATATCTAGCCGTATACTGATAGCAATCCCGTCTGTGTAAATTTTCACGCGTCAGAGAGTTTTAAAACTTTCACGTTCCAATAGGATAATCATGAGTTGCAGAAGACACGATGGGCATCCCCTTGTTAAGGTCTGTTTTTCGTGTAGTGACCAGCTGGTGTGCGACGAGTGTACGAAACTTGACCACTCCGGCCACATCTTCCGCGAGATCGAGGAAGTCGGTAAAGAACGACAGAAGACGTTGCTCCAGAACCTCAAAGAAACGGAAGCTGTTGTTTTGGGTATACAACAAGACCTGGGGAAACTTCAAAGCTTTAACGAAGGCAATCGATCTCAGTCCAGAGACGTTGTCGATAAGATACAGCGCCGAGGCAAAGACATTCAAGACGCCGTCAACCAATACACAAAGCAACTCGTGTTTATGTGCGAACGGCATCATAACGACACAGATTACGACATCGCCGAAACCAAAGTGAGACTAGACTCGGAACTTCTGAATGCAACGAAGTCTCGTGGTATTATACAAGCTGCGTTAGAGTCCGAGAACTTCCCAAAAATCATAGAAACTGAGAAATACCACCGGAACAATCAATATCAGAGACAGGTTGTTTCCGTTAAGTCTCCGAGATCCGTTGCTTTAGTGCACGGAGCAGGTACCGTCGGACATCTTAGGGAAATATTCGGAGATATTGAAATTCAGCATCAGGATAATTACCAATATCGTTTCCACAACGAATCTGAGACACGAGAAGAGCACGAAAATGCAAAAAGAAGAAAACAAGATGGCGGCTACAACGTGTGTGACACAACCGTCACTTCAGCGTTCGAGCAGACGACATCCTCTTTCGGAATCTGTTTCATTTGTCCGTCGCTAGCATCGGTCGATGAATGCTGGATACGTCTTGAAAGAATGAACGAGATTAAACTGGTCTCCAGGACGGGCGATGTCAAACAGACAATCCATTTCGACACTGCTGTAGCCTGTCTCGCTAATACTGCGGACAATCGGACAGTGGTCAGTTGTCCGGACAAACATATTATACAAGAGATTCTACCGGACGGAACACCGAAGACACTTTTCCATCTGGACAGACTGTCCCCGCGTGCGCTATGTCTCACGACAGAAGGAAATCTTCTGATAAGTCTAGTAGAGAAATGGAGTTATTCCGTATCTGCTTTCAGCACACGGAAGATCGCTAAGTATACAGTCAAAGGTTACAAAATGGCGGAAGCAGAATACGACGGCCACAGGAAGAGGTTGTTCATCAAGCCTTCAAGAGTCGCTACAAGTCTTTCTTCCGGTGATGTGGCCGTCATCAATCGAACGGAATACGAAACTAGTCATCTAGTCATTTTAGACAAACATCTTCGCCTCAAGTTCCGATACTTTGGAGATAGGAAGATAATCCCGAGCTCGAAGCGTTACTATGGCAAAGAGTCTGTCCAGTTCTGTCCTCAGGACGTCCAGTACGATGCGGGAAACAACATCCTGATCGCCGAGCTGTACAGTTGTTCTATTCAGCTGATTGACGGCAATGGTCATCTGCTCAAGATCCTTCATACAGACGAGGACATTCCCTGGTCACTGGCTGTCCATACTGACCATCAGGTGTGGACAGGCTACAACAGCGGAAAGGTCAAGGTACTCAGCTACCGTAAGTATCTGTCGTAGGACAAGGTATTAATTTTCCTAAGGTTTGGTTTGCTATTATGTTGTTTAGCATCCCGTTAACAGCTAATGTCTTTTAAGGACGTGCCTCCATAAGTGTCTAATGTTTGCGTGCATGTGTGTGTAGTATTGGCTCTTTGTGATAGCGCGGATCTGATGCCGATTGTAAGAGTGCTACCTCACTGAAATACCATATCGAAGGCACACATGACAGTATTCCACATTAAGCAGGGAATAACAACTACCCGTATGTTTGAAGACGTTTGTGTGTCCAGGCCTGTGGACAGAACCCACCGCATGCCTCACTTGGCTTAATGTTCAACACTAGGCCAAAAGTGAGGTATTGCCAAGGAAGGCACTAGGAAACGAAAAGGCTGTTATGAGTTGCTTTTGCGTCCCGAGGTAGAGGGCACAAAATACTTTTGCAGGGATTTCCACATTAATCGCCTCTAACAACATTTAGAAGATAACAGTAGATTTGTTATTTTCTAAATCCCCGACCTGCAAAGTAGAACATCCCTGTCATACTTTTTTTTTATACAAACAGTAACCTCCCCTTAGTTCTTTTTGAATAAAAAAAAGCTGTCGTAGGACTGCGCAAGGGGACTAACAAACTTATCAGGTAGCCCATTTGGTTTGTGAACGGAGGTCCTGGGTTAGAATCACCGATCTGGCTCCGTTGCATTTTTCACTTTCAGAACACCGTTGTAGATTTCCTTTTATGTTTTTTTTTATCTATATTTTTTACATCATAAAAATATCGCCAAGTATTGAGGGTTTTTTCCCAGAAAAAAACCCAGTAAAGCTATTGTCATGCAAGTAAAAATCTCCCTATTCATACCTATGGGTGCTTTAAAACGGGGATACTTAGCACATGTCTCCAGTAACAAGACGTAACAATCGGGAACCATCGGCACTTTGCGTAAACGAGGAACCACTCTTTTTCGGGAATCGCCGCCGGTTAACGATAACTGTTGATCAATGTATATGTTCTTTAAATTAAACTATAGTTTTGTTCCGTTCGG